CTATCACAATACATCGCATTTTACGGCTTTTACTACTAACCTCTGTGTTTTTGGATTTTCACTTATCACAAGACATCGCATTTTACGGCTTTTACTACTAACCTTTGTGTTTGTGGATTTTCACCCTCACAAGACATCGTATTTTACGGCTTTTACTACTAACCTTTGTGTTTCTGGATTGTCACCTGTCACGATACATCGCATTTTGCTTACTATAGCTAGGGTACAACTTGCCGTAGGGATCTTTCTGGGTGGCTCCGGTTCCCCAAGTTGATCTAGATTCCTTTGTTTTCAAGTGCCATAAAGTGCAAGTGATATTTACGATCTGGACACATCTTTATGATCTGTATGTGTAAATATATTATGTGGAAAAGGACAGTTAAATACCATTCCTATAAATTATCAATTTTAGGCGGCATCGCACTTCCTATTTTACGTCAAGCAATGATTAAAATGTAGTTCTGATACATTCTGTTTCACCGTGAACTGTGACTATCATATGAATTGCATGATATGCGTATAAAAGATAGTTTTGATATAACTTTCTCAACCCTCAGTAATAAATACGTGGTGCTTTTATTGGAAATGTAAATATAATTTTCTAACATGTGATATCAGTTTTGGCTTAATTGTAAAAAAATGATGCATATTTAGTTTGTTACTGTGCTACGTACATTAATGATAATATTATGACTAGAAATATTGTGAAACTTATTTTTTTTATAGTCACAAGCAGTTATTTTGAGACTAAAAATATATCGACAAGAGCCTGTCATGCAGTCAACAGATGTCACCATAAACACTGTCTAATAAAATTTTGGCTCAAGAGAAAGGATGAATCTTCAAGTGATTACTTTTTTCAAAGTATTATAAGTAAAAACATCAAGATTGATGGAAACTATTATAGAATATAATTAAATATAATTGGAACCAGTAATAACACACAATAAACTTGAATTATCGATCGTCGTTATTAACTGTATATTTTATACCTGATGTGGCGAGACATTTAACACTAATTCCAAAAAGTTTCAGAAA